AATAATTTTACTGTGGATTTTCAAACCAATATTTTTTATTTAATTTTATGTCACAGTTTGGTAAAAAGTATTAAATATTTTATTTCATTATTTAATACATTTATTATTGATTATTATAAAATAGACAATTTTTTATTAACTAATAGAATGAAAATTATATTACACTATTAAATGTAAATTTAATAATAAAAAAAATTTTAAGTAAAGAAAAAATACGTGCGTAGCAGCACGTGTATCTTCCTAGTCCCTTTTAAAAACAAGACACTACACATGTATGTAAATACCAACTTTTAACTCTTCAGTTGTCAAACAAAATAAGTCAGAAAAAAAAAAGGAAAATTTGTCAATACTGTTTGTAAAAAGCTAAGTGTTGGTATGGCTCATATATTGACAAAGGAAAGGGGCAGGCTGATGCCTGCGAGCGTAACGGAGCGAACGTAGCGAGGGAAGCGGAGCGACCGAGCGAAGTGAGCGGAGTGGAGAGCCCCCGCGGTACGGTACAGGGTATTTAAGTAAATTTATACCTTGTAGGGTTATAGTATAAATACATGGTGTATTGATGTATTTGTGACTATTGAATAATAAAAGGATCCCTCAGCCGCCGTGGACGTAGGCACATTTGCCGAACCACGTAAATCTTGTGTTGTTTACTTTCTCGTTTTTTAATTCGTATGCTATATTGTCATCGTTTCACAACACTAAGGTTAGCAGTAGCGAATGCAAATCGGTTGTTTTTCTTTATGCTAGTACTGATCTCACCTTTAGACAAGTGCAGTGGGCATAAACTTTCTTGGGGTGACCTTTGGCTGTTAGGAGGTGATTTCAATGACTTGCTTTCTAATTTGGATAAGAAAGGAGGGACTATAAGAGATGAGTCTAGTTTTACCGACTCCCGAGACTTTGTGAGAGGGTTATATGGGTTAGAACCTAGGTCAGTCGGGTATCCTTTCACTCGGTCTAACAATAGGAAGGGATCTGATTTTGTTGAAGAAAAACTGAATTGCTTTTTCCTGTCTCCCAACTGGTCTATTCAGTCTCCAAATGCTTTGGTTAATCATATTTCTCTAACCTCTTATGACCATAGTATGATCATGTTAGAGCAGAATCCTAGTAGAGAGGTGGGGAGAACGAGATTTGCCTTCGACTCTAGATGGATTAAAAATGAGGGATTTGATCGAGCTGTTGAAGCTTCTTGGAATTCCCAAGTAGAAGGTCCTGAATTACTTAGCTTACAAAAGAGAATCATGAATGTTAGACTTGCTCTTATAAAGTGGAGTTCAGATAAAAAGTCTTTAACACTGCTAAAATAATTTAAGATAGTATGGCAAAGCTCAATGATTTAGGCCTTCAGGATGGGTTTAAGGACAAAAAGGCTTGGTATAAAAGGCAATTTTTTTTTTGAATCAAGCCTTTACAAATGATTAACTCTACTGGAAACAAAAATCTAGAGTCTTGTGGCTTAAAGCAGGAGACAGAAATACTAACGTTTTTCACACAAGTGTCGAAGAATGGGCAATAGCCTGAAAAATTTAGTTAATTTTGAAGGAAAAAAATGCATGAACAATTAGGAAACTTTGGATGAATTTAAAACTTACTTTGAGATTTTGTTCAGAAATTATGATCCTCATGTGAAGAGTTGTAGTTTGCAAGAGATTCCTCAATGTATAATAGAATCAATGAACTTATAGTTAATCAAACCTGTTGAGGAGTAGGACATCAAATGTGCCCTGATGGACATGGGCTCAACAAGGCTGCTGGCTTGGATGGTATGTCACCATCCTTTTTACAGAACTCTTGGCCCTATGTTAAGCACCATATGCTTTTGGTCTTGCTAGACAAATGATGAAGACGAGGCCGCGCTAGCATTTATGGAGAAATACGACCGTCTTCGCGTCTAAATAATTATTATTTATTATTTATTAT